TCCTCCTCCTCCAACCTGCCCACCTCCTCTCCAAACCTGCCCACCTCCTCCTTCCCAAACCCACCCACCTTCTCCTCCAACCTTCCCACCTCCTCCTTCCCAAACCCGCCCACCTTCTCCTCCAACCTTCCCACCTCCTCCTTCCAACCTGCCCACCTCCTCCTCCAACCTGCTCACCTCCTTCCCAAACCTGCCCACCTCCTCCTTTAACCTGCCCACCTCCTTCCAAACCTGCCCACCTCCTCCTTCCAACCTGCCCATCTCCCCCTTCCAAACCTGCCCACCTCCTCCTCAATCCTCAGCCTTGGCCATGTCCTGTCCAAACCTGCCCATGTCCGTCCCACACGGGGCCACCTCCTCTCCAAACCTCACTGCCACACAACCCCCCCCGTTCCCACCCTCCCTCTGGAAAGGCACCGAGTGCCCGTCTCTCCACTGCCCTCAGTGATTCCAGCCCTTTCCATCTGCTCTCCGTGGCCAATTCCCTCGAGTTTCGGAGCAAAGCTCCGCTTCCCGCAGGGATTTGGCCCCCAGGAAACACCCGAAGCCTACAAGGAAACAGGGGGTTGTATCTGCAGCGGCTCAAAGCTTGTGCCAGGGATGTTACACCAGTTCACTGAAACAGAATTAATCGAGGAGTTGAGGAAAAAGAGGCAGCTTTACCCTGGGAACTAAATGCCCCAAGGGCTTATTTTTCTTCTCTCTCTCTCTCAGATCTGTAGAAATACAAAGCAAGTGGTGGGTTTGCAGAACAGCACCCGAAACGCTCCGTTTGGCAGCTCAAATTCTGCTTCACGTGACACTTTTGGCGTGTTGGGCTGTCGCTTAAAGATAAACAGACAAGCAAACGAGCAAACACACACACGACCCCTCGGCAAAGCACCCCCTGACCCGGCCCGGGAGCCCCCAGACAGCCCCGGGACGCTCGGGATGCTCCTGGGGAGTCACTGGGAGCCGGCTGGGAGGGGCGGATCCGATGGCACTGTGCGGGATGAGGGATGACGGGAGCCTGGAGAGGCTGGATGGGCACGGCCGGGCGCGGGACGGGGGGGACACGGGACGGGGACGTCACCTGGCACGTGGAGTCACCCGGGCTGGGGGTCAGCGGGTCCCCAAGCACACGCACACACCGCTCAGTCGTCAGCGTCAGCTTTATTGGGGACACGGATGTCACACAACGGACCCGCTGCACTGCGGGCACCTCGCGCGGCTCCCGGGGCCCAGGATCGGCTCCCCCTGCCCAGGATCAGCTCCCGGGGCTTGGGATCGGCTCCCAGGGCTTGGGATTGACTCCCATTGCCTGGGATCAACTCCCCCTGCCCAGGATTGGCTCCCAGGGCTTGGGATCGACTCCCCGTGCTCGGGATCAGCTCCCATTGCCTGGGATCGGCTCCCCCTGCCTGGGATTGGCTCTCACTGCTTGGGATCAGCTCCTGCCGCCCAGGATCGGCTCCAGAGCAGCCACAGACACCGGGACACCTCATCCCTCTCCCACAGCTCAGCGGGCTGGATCTTCCAGGATCCGTCACTGCTCTACAAACCCCTGACAGGAGGGGGGGGCCGGGGGGGGGGGTCGGGCTCTGCTCCCGGGGAACAAGGGACAGGACAAGAGGAAAGGCCTCAAGCTGTGCCAGGGGAGGGTCAGGTTGGATACTGGGGAAATTCCTTCCCCCAAAGGATTGTAAAGCACTGGAATGGGCTGCCCAGGGCAGGGGGGAGTCCCCATGCCTGGAGGGATTTCCAAGCCCTGTGCATGTGGCACCTGGGGACAGGGGTCAGTGGCAGCCTTGGCAGTGCTGGGTGGGGTTTGATGGGCTCAGGGGGCTTTTCCAACCTCAATGGCTCTGTGATTCCACGTTAAACAGGAAGAAGGTGCTGTTGGCCTCACACTGCCAGGGCAGCTCCAGCAGAGCCGAGTCCGTGTGTCCCCACACAGGGGCCATCACTCCTTCCCAAGGACAGGCCCAAAGGAAGTTGTCCCTCTGCTCTGCTGTCACTGTCACCACCGGTGAGGACCGTGCAGGAGCTGTGCCAGGCGAGCCCCTCTCAGCCTGGGCACGCTGGTGTGCCTTGTCCCGGTCCCGGGGGGTGGAACCAACACTGCCTCCAGCAGTTCCTCAACTCTGACCTCACGTTCCCATTCTCAGTCTTTCTTGGCCTCTTTCTCAGTCCCTCTGGTCAAAGGTCCTTCCGTGGAAGCCCGTCTTGGAAGGAGACAGAGCCAGAGTTAGAGCTATGGAGAGAGTTATGGATCGTGTCTTCTCATCCCGGGGTGTCCAGGCAGGACCCCCGAGAGCTCTGAGAGGGAAACGCTCCAGGGCCTGACCTGGAGCTGCCACGTGCAGGGAAATCCCTGCCCTTGGATGGAACTGCTGTAAATTCAGAATTAGGGCAGGAAGAAATTCCCTGTCCCCTGCAGGACTCCAGGACACTTCACAGCCCCCATCCCTGAGGAACTCCAGGATATCTCACTGTTCCCATTCCTGAGGAACTCCAGGATATCTCACTGTTCCCATTCCTGTGGGACTCCAGGACACCTCACTGTTCCTGTTCCTGTGGGACTCCAGGACATCTCACTGTCCATGTTTCCTGTGGGACTCCAGGACATCTCACCTTTCCTATTTCCTGTGGGACTCCAGGATACCTCACTGTTCCCATTTCTGAGGAACTGCAGGATACCTCACTGCTCCCATTCCTGTGGGACTCCAGGATATCTCACTGCTCCCATTCCTGTGGGACTCCAGGACATCTCACCTTTCCTATTCCCTGTGGGACTCCAGGACACCTCAGTGTCCCCATCCCCGTGGGACCCCAGGATACCCCAGTATCCCTGTTCCCTGTGGGACTCTAGGACACCTCAGTGTCCCATTCCTGTGGGATTCCAGGACACATCACTGTCCCCACCCCCGTGGGACTCCAGGTCACCTCAGTGTCCCCATCCCCAGACTACAGGACACCTCATTGTCCCCATATCCTGTGGGACACAAGGACACCTCATTGTCCCTGTTCCCTGTGGGATTCCAGAACACCTCTGGCTCCAGGCAGCTCTTGAGGGAGGTTTAGGTGACCCTGTCCTTGTCCAGACAGTTCCAGGACCTGGAAACCATGTCCTGAACTGGGTCATCCCACTCTTACCTAACTGCTCCTTCCATTATTTCCTGAATTTACAGCAATTCCATAAAAAAGAGGAACTTGGACAACGCGGGAGAGGGACTGACATCATTAAATATTCTATTTACAGCCCATTTCCTGGGAAATATTTTAAGTCTTTGCCACCAACCGGGAGCATGAAAATTTCAGAGATGAAAGGCCGTGACTTTGGGAAAAGGAATGGGAACGTTTAACTCTGTGGGACGGCTGGAAGGGCCACACAGTGGTGGTGGGAGGGGGTTTGGAGCGAGGAGGGCGGGGGGCTCCAGGGGCTCTGCTGCTCCTGGGGGGTCGGCAGTGCCATGGGAAGCACAGGGATCACAGGGAAGCAGCGGTGGAGGCAGGAGGGGGTTGAAGAGAAGCGGAGGATGGCGAAGGGATGCTCCTGGAAATTGGGGTCCCTGCTGGGGGGGGATCAGCAGGTCAGACAGACACAGATGGGGAGGCCAGGGAAGGGATGGGGACAGGGATGGGGGGCTGTGTTCCCACCTGGAGTCACTGGGAGACAGAGGACTCGCAGCCAGACACCAGAGCCAGTGAGAGGGGTCAGGGGGGCCCAAAACAGCCCCCCAGAGGTGCCAGCACCACGGGGAGGGACCACCAGAGGCCACGGTGGTTTGGTTGGAAGAGCCTTTTGGAAGAGCCTTCCCAAGGGAAGGGCTCCCCTGGCAGGGGTGCACTGCTGGAGCTGCTGTTAAAACCAGAGAGCCCCCACGTTTTCCAGCGCCACTGGAGGTGGGCACAGCTGGCACTGAGCTGTGGGGGACCTGATTCCAGAGGGTCCCCAAATGCATCCGGCACAGGACCTGAGCAGGGCAGGGAGAGGGACCCCGGGTGGGACACGAATGGCTGTCACCTGAGCAAGGGGCACAGGTACCCGCCAGGAGAGTGAGACCCCCAGATCCAGTTCCAGCAGCCCCAGTTTGGTACCCCCGAGGTGGTGCCACCAGGATGGCACTGCCCAGGGCACTGCAGGGAGATGGAGGCTGGAACGACCCCGCACTCCCCTGGGACACAAAGGGACACTTTGTCCCTCACACCACAGCCTGGGATGTCACCTGCTGTGCCAGCACCACGTGGAGGTTTGGTGGGAAAAGCCTTTCCAAGGGAAGGGCTGCCCTTCACCCGGAGCTCCCTGCACCTCGCCGGGCCCCTGGCACCCACTGGGTGACACCGGTGACACTGCTCAAGGCGGCTCTGTGCTGTTGTGGGGCTGCACCTCAAAGGGCAGTGTGACACTGGAGGTTCTGGGTCACCTCCTGCTGTAACTTCACATTTCGAAGCTTTATCGGGGTTTGTGCCCAAATGTCGGACTCCAGTTTAGAGGTTTTTGGACTAGTTTGGTTTCAGGGCCGGGTGGGTGAGGCAGGAACGGGGCTCAGTGGGCACAGGTCAGGCTGTGTCCTGTGTGGGGGATGTCACAGATCACCCTCCTGACCCTCCCACCCGTCAGGGACCGCCCACGGCTCCGACACAGGACAACATCCGGAGATCCTTTGGAATGAGAAGCGCTAGAGGAACACACGTCGCTGTCGGTCGTTCAGGAGCACACACGGAGGGTGGAACCCAGGACTGGGCACAGCAGCGTCACGACAGCGCCAGACAGGAGGGACACGGAGCCACGGCAGGGAGGGAAAAGCGACAGCGACTCGCGACGTGTGCGAGGAGCCGATCCCACGATCCCACGATCCCACGGCTCCCGGGAAGCTCCCGGGAAGCTCGTCCCGGCATCGCCGCAGAGCTCCTGCCGCCTCTGAAACGCCCCTCAGAACACAGCCCGGGTACTCAGCACAGTCACACCCCCACACGCCCCGACCCTCCCCGCGCCCCGGCCGGCGCCGGCGTCTTACCGTGCCGCGACCACCGGCGACTTCTTCCCGGGATCTAAGGTGGACCCGGCCGGTTCCTCCCCCAGTGATCGTGTATCCTTGTTCAGCTGCTGGAGTCGGGAACTTAGCTCACTGATCACAGTTGGCTTGTCATCGTCAGCCCCATGGATGGGCCTGCTCTCCATGGGGTCCCCCCATAGCTTGGACCTTCTCTGAAAGAGGTAGCGTGGCCGGCCGATGCTGGCGGACGCCAGCGTGGCCGCATGTTGCTGGGAGATGAGCTCGCTGTCCGAAGACTGCTTCAAAAGTGGGTCCCTGAAAGTAACTGGCCCCTTGCTGAGCTGGGACTTGAGTTTTGGCTTTGGAGGCACTGGTGGCTTCTCGAGTATAAAAGTTTGTCCATCCGCAAAGGAAGTGTACGTGTCGGTGGGCTCCCCGCTCTCTGAGGACAACGTAGACATGCTGGAGACCGTGGAGATGGTGCTTGTGGTCTCCAGGTGATGGTCGCTCGAACTTCTGGTGTCCACCTCTTCCACTCCCGAGTCCGCGGCGGACTCCGGGGCTGCGGGGGCGTCGGAGGGCTTCCCTGAGGGTGTTCCGCCAGTGGTAGAAGGTGCTACTGCTGCCGCTGGTATGGATGGCGTGCTGGGCGTAGCCAGGTGGCTCACGGGTGTGCCGGGGGTGGTCACCAGGACCCCGTTCGCAAACTCGTCCGGTGGAGGCACCAGCCCTATCTTGGCCAGCTCCTCCCTGGTCTCCTCGTCGCTCGAGGACAGCTGGGCCGGCGGGAGCGTGACCGTGTAGGGCTCCACCTCCTCCTCCGAGCTCCCCTGGCCCAGCGCCTTGTCGGCGGCGGGACTGACCGGAGGCTTCCCCACGGGGCTGGGCTGGGGCTCTGCCTTGGGGGGCTCGGCCGGCTCCGTGCAAACTTCGGGGACGGCCGGGGTCTCCTCTTTTATCTCAAGTCCTATCTCGTCTTGGCCATTACTGGTGGCGTGGACCATGATGAGGCCGGCGGTCTTCTGCTGCGACGTGTCCACGATGCTGATGATCATGGACTTCTTGTCCTCCGGTTTCTTCTCCTCCTTCCCCGGGGTCTCCGCTTGGGCCTCGGTCTCTTTCCTCAGTGTGGACGGAGTCCCCCAGGGGCTCTTGGCGGGGGCCAAAGTCCCAGAGTCCGCTCCGATCGCTCCGATCGCTCCGATCACTCCTTTGCCTCCGGGGGAGTACGCGGGGGACACCAAGCTCTCCAAGTCGCCCCTCTCTGGTTCTTTGGTTTGGATGTCCACGAACAGGGGTGCTGCTCTGTCTGAGTCGGGGCTGTGGATCGGGGTGGGCGACCGGGATGGGACTTGGGTGGACAGGGCCCGTTCCCTTGCGGCCAGCGCAAGCGCCAGTGGGGAGTTCGGATCCAGGGGCTTTCCCGTGAGGGGGTGGATGAACGTTGAGGATGAGCTGCTAATTAATGGCTTTAAAGCTGAGACGGGGGAAGGCAGTAGAACATCTCGGCTTCCTAACAACCGCTCATCGATGGACCTGGACTGCTGCAGGGACGGCATCTCGCTGGGCGGGGGGGGCGTCCCCTCGATGGCCCCGACCGAGAGGAAGACAGTGGATTTCCGCCTCTCATCCAGGCGACGGTCTCGGTCCTTCATGACGCCAGCGATGGCAGTGGCAAAGGGGATGCTCGTGGCTTCGACCTGAGCGATGCCGGCGTGGTGCTGGTACTCCACCCCGCCCAGGCGGTGGCCCCGGCGGGTGGGCGAGGGCTCCCTGCTGAAGCCGCCGGTGATGGCCAGCGCCGCCCGCTCCTGCGCGTCCTCCACCTGCAGCTGCTTCACCAGCGGGCTCTTCTTCCTCTGCGGCTTGGTGGGCGCGAACAGGCTCACGTTGAACTGCCCCATGTTGGCGTAGGGGTTGTCGATGACCCTCCCCTTCCGCTTCAGCTTCTCCGGGGGGGTGGCGGACGGGCCGGGCCGGGGGATCTCCGTGGGCTCCACGGGGAGGTGAGAGGAATCCTGGAGGATTATCATGGATCGGGCCCTCTTCTGCCGCTCGGGGTAAGGGATGGACGTCCTGGCCTGGTCGTACATCTCGGCCGCGCTGATGACCTGCGGGAGGCCGTGCAGTTTGGCCTCCAGGCTGGGCTTAAAGCTCGACCTGATGGTGTCGTAAGCTCTTCCCGGGGGCGGGGGTGGCGAGAAGGATGGAGGGGGGCCTGTGTCGAAGTAATATGGAGAAGGAGGCGGGGGTGGGGCTGTTTGGGGTGGCGGTGGAATCCCATGTCCTTCCCTAACAGTGTCTTGCATGGATGTGCTCCGGGGAAACTTCCCGTCGAGCAAAGAAGCAGCAAGTTTCTCGTCTTCACCTGGAAAACAGGGGGAACAGCGACGTCAGAGGGGACGCTCCCAGAGAACCCAGAGTGCCACCAACTGGGGGGGGGGTCAGTCCCCCCACCCCAGCTTCTATCGGAGGTGACTTTTCATCTTTTCAAGCCAAGCTGGAAAGGGCTTGGAGCAACCTGGGCTAGTGGAAGGTGCCCCTGCCCAGGGCAGGGGGTGGCACTGGATGGGCTTTAGGGTCCCTTCCCACCCAGACCATTCTGTGATTCCAGGTTGGATGGGGCTTGGAGCAATGTGGTCTAGGGGAAGGTGTCCCTACCATGGCCAGGGGATGGAATGAGATTGGTTCTAAGATCCCTTCCAACCCATTCCATGACTCCTGGAGCATTTCCATCTGGAAATGCACCCTCATCCCTCGGAGCAGCCACGACATCTCCCACCGGTTCAGTTCCCACCGGGGGGGTTGTGCCCAACCCTTCCCCACCAGGCTGAGCCCTCTCCAGTGACAGGGCTGCAGACGTGCTCCCTCAGCCCTCCCGGCACCACCTGCCAAGGTGCCAGACAGCCGAGTGCCAGCAGCACCCGCCGCGGCGTCGCCCCGGCACGGGCTCCGCACGCGCCGCTCCCATCACACCTCCCGGCTCCCCGAGGGGCTACATATGTTCCCATGTGCCAGACTGAGCTCAGCGGGGTCTAGCAGGAACTCGAGTGACGGATTTTGAGTGTTGGAAGAGCCCAAAGAAGGCAGATTCCATCGTTCTTACTATGAACCGGCTCCCCGGGTGTGCAGCCAGAGCTTTGCCAAGTACTGGGAATGCTCTGGGAAAGACTGGGAGGATTTTAAGGTAAGGGGAGTTAAAACTGGGGGTTGGAATCAGATGACCTTAAAGTGCTTTCCAACCGAAGCCATTCTAAGCAATTCCATGATCCTACAATCCATTAATACAACAATCCCCCCCTCCACACTCCAGCCTTTGGCCTCAGCTCCCCCCCCATCCCACCCCCCAATTCCCTGTGCTCACCCCTCGCTCGCCAAAACTCCTTCCCAGCCCCTGTTCCGCTGCTCTCAAGGTCTCAAACCGCTCCTGAGAGGATTTTTTTTTGCCTCTAAAGCTTTTCCTTTCCAGAAAATGCTCCTCCTGCACCGTCCACCAGCACCAAAATGCTCCGGCAACCGCGCCCGGTATCCGTCAGCAATTCCACCCAAGGCAGAGTCCAATGGGGACAAAAGGGAGGATTTTGGCACTGGACTTTCATCCCATGCTGTTGTTCGTGCTCAAAGCCGGGCTATTTTTGTTGAACAGTTTGGGGATTTGCAATCCCGAGGAGGGATAATGAACTGGCAGCACGGAACAGGTTCAAAGGGAGCCTGGACAAAGCCAGGAGGAGCTTTTTTGGAGCTATTCTGTGCCCTGAACCCCCTGAGCGCTGAGAATTCAGGAGAATTATCTCATCTGTGCCCTGTTTTCCCTCCCCCCCCCGGGAATCTGCTTGGCAGCAGTGCCTGGGATGGGATCCTGCACTAGATGGAGCCATGGTTTGATTCGGGAGAGACGTTGTCGTGGTCTCGGCAGCGCCAAGATCCAAAAAACCAGTCCTGCCTTTCATGGCTATTTCTGGGAACGGCCAGGAGTTGAAACAAGGGTATCTGGGCAGCACTGAGCTCGGTCACCGTGCCCAGGTTGTCACAGGACACGGCCCAGTGCCAGGAGAGCTCATCCTGGGAATGAGCTGCCCGGCCTGCAGATGGGCACGGATGTGCCAAGCACAGAGCTACTGCAGGAAATCCAGTGGGGAAACTGGATCTTCCTCCTGGAATGCCCTGGTCATGGCTGCCGGAGCAGGGGTGGCACTGGGACACCACCAGATCCCATCTCTCCTCCATGTTTTCTTAAATGAGGAGGGACACTGTGGAAAACCTGCCAGTGCCTTCGATAAGGCACTGCCATGGGCAGGGACACTGTGGAAAACCACATCCAGGCACTGCCATGGGCAGGGACACTGTGGAAAACCACATCCAGGCACTGCCATGTGCAGGGACACTATGGAAAACCACACCCAGGGCACTACCATGGGCAGGGACACTATGGAAAAACACATCTGAGGCACTGCCAAGGGCAATGACCAGCCAGACATCTCAGAAGGACCTTGATGGGAATGGACCAGCAGGACCACCAGGAATCCCAACAAGGACAGGCACCAAATCCCACACCTGATCCGTGTCCCTGGAGGGAGAGACCAGACTTGGATAAAACCCTGAGGAACATGATCTGTGTCCCAGCTGACCCTGCTTAGAGCTGCTGGTTGGACTGGAAACCTCCTGCTTCCCACGGGAATTCTCCCTTGCCTTTGCCCCAGTGCCGGTTCCCAAGCTGGCAGCGAACACAAGCCTGTGCCCTGGAATAGAGGAACGTTCTCTATTCCCTGGGAAAACAAACATCTCCGGTTGCTCCTCAGCGAGAAAACCACCACTGAGGATTGCTCACGGATGGGAGAGGTGGGAGGGAAGAGAACCTTGGCAGGTTCTTCCTTCACTACCTGTGAGTGCCGGTGCTGCCGAGCCTGCGCCGAGCCCGAGTAAACAAGCACAGCCTTACTCATCCCCCTCCCTCCTCCCCGGGCTCCTCACCCCCCACGCTCTGCTGATGACTCTGTCTCCAGCCCCCCCTTCTCCAGCTCTGCTCTGGTCTCACAGATCACAGAATCATGGAATTGTTAAGGCTGGAAGAGCCCTGTGAGCCCATCGAGTCCAACCATCCCCAGCTCTGCCAAGGCCACCACTGACCACGTCCCCAAGTGCCACATCCACAGGGCTCTGAAATCCCTCCAGGGATGGGGACTCCAAACCTCCCTGGGCAGCTGTGCCAGGGTTGGAAAACCCTTTCCAGGAAGGAATTTTCCCAGTATCCAACCTGACCCTCCCCTGGCCCAGCCTGAGGCCGTTTCCCCTTGGCCTGTCCCTTGTGCCCTGGCAGCAGAGTCCGA